CACAACTATAGAAGAACTAACAATAGAACCTCCTACCTCATAGCTACTCTTATTCACAATCAACAACGGTATTCCGGGAGTTAGGAGGTTGCACGAGTGGCCGATGTTAATTGCAGTTTCCTGCTTGTCACCGGTCAACACCCAGATTTTGATGTCCGCTTTTAAAAGCGAAGAAATCGTCTCAGGAACACCCTTAAATACAATTGCTGAAATTGCGTAGAAAAGAAACGCGGAACAAATGGCTTACGTCTTGCAACTTATCTTCAATCGCCGTTGCACCTAAGAGGATCAAATTCTAAATCTGAAGCTAAAACAACACTTTACTGTAAACATGGTCAATGTATCTTACCTGCTCGATTAATTCTGCAGCGTCCGACAACTTCTTTTCACGCTGTTCGATCGAGATGCTCGCTTCGTAGTATTTTTTGCGCCACTCTTGATAAAATTCTTCCGAAATGTCTGCCCTGGCAAGACACAGTGTGCGGTATCCTGAAGATTTCAACAACAGTGAAATTCCGAGTTGACGCCCACGCTCAGTGAATAACGTTATTAAATGAATGTATTTTCAGGTCGTGATCAAAATGAACACTTTGGCATAACACTCAGCGAAAAATTTTACTTAGCGTATCAAGAATCACTCCCCCAGAGACAAGTAAAATATCAGTTTTTGAGTTAACCTAAATGGTGATAAGCACTGTCCCATTAAACGATTCATTAACACAAAGATTTTGTAATCCTAAAGTCGTGTTACTTTCTCAGCGCCAGAACAATAATCAACATACACAATACAATAAACAGTATCAGAACCCCCTGATATGCAATTCAGATATTCCATCCTTAAAGTAGCCAGCAGTACGCTGTTCCGACTGCTAATTGCTCCGGCAAACACCGAAGAAAAATCTGCAAAGTTGTCTGTGTTGCGGCTTACCAAGATCATACATTTTCATCTATGTTTCGTTACAGCCGTAGCCAAAAATAAATTTTCATAGTGAAACATGGTAGGAGTTCGATATCTGCAAAGACCCCTATGCCAACCTACCGTGTTATTCGTTACTGGAATCGCAGCAGGTATAAATTTCTATAACAAAATACGATTGCCTCCTCATCTGATGTCGACTGGGAACATTAGTACACATACCATCAAAATAATATCTATACGATCGGGCTTCATGTGGACAATAGTTCATTTCAGAAATAACTTTTATAATGAAATTTAAGTCTGTTTGCTTAAATCTTTAAGTAGCTGTGATGTCTGGAATAAAACGAGCACTCATAAAGCAGGACGCGCGAAAAGCAGATGCGTTCGTTTCCATTTTTGCGTTTACCAAGAAAATCATCTTGAGCTGTTTACAAAAGGAGAAAGCTTTTGGTGTGTGATTCCATTGTATACGTTGTATACCTAATAGTTTTCTAATACTTTAGCTATAAGGCACCTGTTACTGCGTCGTAGAAGGAACAATTCCTCTCTGAACGCAGATTTGTCTGTACCTTGTTCTTCCATGTTATACACTAGCGCCTACCGTTTTTGCTTCTGCACAAGTTAACTAGTGGACCGGAGCGAACAGTTCGGATCAAGTTTGTCCAGGAGAGTCAACCTCTTTCTCTTAATCTCTACATCTACTGAGGTCACCTGTGCCTGGAAAAGAAACACCAATCGGAACATAGCGGTGGTTCGCAATTGCTTATCAGTGAATGTGAGATGATTGTAAATCTGACAACAACAGCTTGACTGTTTCATTGCTGCAAAAACAACGATTTCATTAAAAGCAAATAAAGTAAGTCTGACAATAAAATTAGGAAAGCCTTTTTGTCGGTTTTCTTGTCTTCAGTGAACAGGCTTCCTAAGTGGAATACCAATTTGTTTTTAGCACTTCAGACAAATTCCAGAAACACTTTTTGACAACATCGACTCATATGATCTCACTTATGTGCCCTCGACAAAGGAGGACATTTATTAATGCAACCAGACGTGTCAAGCCGGGGGCGTGGTGGTTAAACGTTAGCTTCGAACCTTGAGGTGATGATTCCAATCAGACAGAGGAACAATCGTTGTTTCAACCGCAAATTCTCTTCAAGGAGGAATTTACGACATATTGCTTCAGACCAGGGTAGCTCAGTCTGCGTAGCTTCAGATGCAGAGCCGATAAATCGCAGGTTCGAGCCCTGGTCTGATCACGCCTTTCTTATATTCGAGGTTGATAAATAAGCACCATTAGGTGAGAAACAAACAAGAAACTACAACCAAGCTTGTCACATAATTGCTGTAGATTTTGCCGTTAAAAATATAGGAAACTGCTGGACGATGGCACAGAAATGGAGATCAGCGCGCCATTAACCTAATGAAAAGAAGGGCGGCATAAATTGATTCATTATAAAAGTGTAAGGACGACTGACCTTCCAACTGTGAAACTTTTCTTTTCTACCTTTTCTATTGACAAGTGACATAGCGAGCAATCATGCAATTGCTTGCTGTGAGGTGAGCAACTAGACTACGAGCGACAAAATTTATGTGAACCTAACTAAGTACCACGACGGTGATCGATATCTATTCAATCGAAAAGTGATTTGAACCAACAAAAGTCAGAATCTCATTTCTGTTGGTTTTGTGCTGCTAAACATACAATCAGAAGGTACGCCGCTTTTAGTTTTCACAGTACGGTACCATTATTAACTGGGGCTACATCACTTCGCGTTCAATCAAACGTTTATTAATCCATATTCAATGTCTACTTTTCAAACATTCATACCGTGAGATGCAAACTCTTCAAGATGCTTCACGGTGACATCAAGGTAAATTTGATTATCTGCCAATCGTTCAAAAATCACACTGTCCTAAACATAGGGGAACGATTACAGTTTAAAAATACCTATGAAAGAACAGCCTACCGCTCCTTTGGTGTACAACTTTATTTTTCCTTCACAATTCCGAAAAATAACAGACATCCGCTTTCGGTCACTGGTAAACTCCAAAACATTCAATACTTCATAACGTTCTTCTCTACCTAACTAAAAAATGTTTACAAGCGGATTTACACAAAACCGTGTCATTTAGCTAATAAAACATTCAAATAAGAATGGCAAAACTAATATATACATATTAAATGGAAAATATACAACGCAATAAATACAACAAAAGGGCGAAACGAATAATGAACGAACCGAAAGCGGATAAATTAGGGGAGGCTAAGATGTCACAAATTAACGTGTTTAGCTTTGTTTTTACGTCAGCGTAACTTACTTAAACCTTCCAGAACAATTTAGATAAGGAATTAAATTGGCGGTGTGCTCATACTGTAAGTAAAGCCAATCTTAACGCTTGTCGAAGTGAATTTCCATCCTTCTCAGCCCATAAGGCAGATCGGTGCATAAGTTCTAAGAGTAAATATTTTATGAAATATACAGGTATTTCATCTTACAGATTTACGGAAAAAGCATTTATTTCCTTACGCTGAATACTTCTTTCTCATCTTTTTCTAGGCACGTTCCCTTTAACAGGGTATCGCTATTTGAATGAACTGTCACCACATCATTCGGTCTTTGGTCAAATCTTCGGTCACTCCTCGCAGTTTCACATGGTTGTTTATTCATCACTTTTTTTATCTTCTTTTCTTTCCTAGTAGTATCAGATGCTTGGACCACACTACAACGTATCTGCCCAGTCATCTTCTCAGTGACCGTACCAACGGAGTTTATTTTCAATAAACTTTTTTTGAAACCGGTGTTACATTCAAAGTGCCTCATATAAAGGTGTTTTAGATATAATTTTTTCTGTTGACACCGCACGCCCATCAGGGCATTCGGATTTTTCCCAAGTTCAGTTGTTGCTCATGACATTTCGAGGTAGCCAAACAGCCAGCCTGCACCTCAAAGAAGCACCGGTCTTATTATCTTTATGTACAACTTCCCCTTTAGTCTGATTGGCATACTCTCTTCGCACAGTACTTTGCTCACTTCTCTCTATTTGAGCTATTATGTTTTCGACTGATTTCTCAATCCAGTGTCGATTTTCTCAATGTTTGAGTCACATACTCTTAGCTATTTTCATTGATTTGTTACCCACTGAAACAGACAGCAATATATTTAGCTTTGCCCTTGTTGGGCCGACGACCGTTTCTCCCAATAACTCATGTCTGTGCCCGGCTTTCGCTTCTACTGCTTCACTGCTTAGCACTATACCATTTGCAAGGAGCATATTATATGGGGCTGATTCCTGCAGATCTTTAGTTATCGTGCCTGTCACTATCGAGAACAGAAACGGACTGAGTGCTGAACCATGAAGAGCTGCATGTAGTACGAACTGCTGTTATCACTCTGTCATATATGTGGTTTGTAAATCTGAAATATTTTCTGGCCACAGCTTCTTTCTCATGCTCCACCAAATTGTATGCTTCAGACTTGGATCAAAAGCTATCACCAAGTTTAAGAACGCAATGTAAACGTACTTTAGAGTGAATACTATTTATTAGTAAAATATGTATCGATTTTGATAATAAGTGACACAGGCTTTTTCTTCTTTTTTAACACATCGTTTATGTAAGCTACGCTAAGAGGGAAGGGGTTACATGGTGGAGAAAATTGTACATCCTTCTCTGAAGTTAAAGGAGATGAATACGGTTGAAAACGCATGTTCAGCGACATTAGCGCTATGAAATGAGCCTAACCTGAAACTGATAGATTAAGGTCTGAGTTCATGATAATACAAACTAAGATTTGATCTGATAGTAAGTGCTCAGAAAATTCCAAAGCTTCAATTAAAAAAATTTACTGAGGGAACCGAAACAAAGGTAGTGCCCTACAATGAGCACTAATATCGGTTTCATTAAAGAACTGCACTTGATAACTGATAACATACATAATACATTGAGGTATCTCAAACCTGCCTTATATGTGCAATTTATTACTGCTACTGCGTGATTAGTAATTTGGTCATTGGCACCATGATAATTTCTAAAGGTAGAAGCAGCTAAATAAAACAAACATTCAATAAAACATACGAATAAAAGGCGGGAAATAAACAGCCACAAAATTACTTACGACAGTAAAAAAGACCGCCTCCGGGGTTCTGGTATGGAAGACAAAGCCGATATTTTTGGCTCCTCGCACTAGAGCACCTTCATCTGAAAATAAAGACCATTATTCGTTACGATTTAACGCACGCCGGACAAAAAGTTCGGGTTTTAGCTTTTTGTACCAGGTGAGGAAGCCCTGTAAGTAATTTCTGACGGGTCGCTCTCCTTTTCCGGAATCGCGGTATGACAAATTGTCATCAACGTCAAAAACTCTTTGATCATCGGTGCAGTAACCTGAAAATCATTAATCGCACCGCCTGCTTGAAAATCTGAAGTTCAATCAAACGTACATGGCGACTGGTCAGATTTTGCAGCAGCGCGGGATCCTCGAATTCGTCAGTGTCGTCAGAACCATACATCACACCGGCGATACTGCACTTTTTGAAACGCATAATATTCTTGGTTAGGGTGCCCGTTTTGTCAGAGAATATGTACTTCACCTAAATACTGATTTCGAAATCACTTATATGCAATATACCAGGACAATACACGATATTTTACTGAAGGTGAGCCGCTCGTCATTGCATGAACTTTGTGACACTGTCTTACTACCAATGAAAGGATCTAACATGGCAAGCACTTAACGAAGAACGTTGTTAGCGCTACATTTCTGAACTACAGCTTATGTGTCAGAGCATTTAATTGGACAGCCAGAATTGTCCTTGTCTCTAAAACGAATAGCGTTTCGCCTATGTCGCGCCATGCTTACTTCATGGTTGAGAACCGGTCGGGCATCGCATCATAACGGTAGAGTGATTATTACAAGCACTCGAGGTATCCCTTGTAGAAATAGCCATAATGGAAAATAGTTAAGGAATTAAATCAATAGAAAAATCTTTCCAGAAGGCAACTCGCAAGAAAATAAAACTGATGGAAAAAACTTTCCCAATGTCATACGAAGAATAGATATTCAGGTGGGAAAGAATGAAGGCCTTATTAGAGTGGAACAGTTAGCGAGATTTCGAACCCTTTACAGTCATGGTATCAAGAGTCCATAGAGTTTTGTATATCTGCTGAAAGATGAAGAACTCCATAGACATATCGTAAAGCCGCAGCCCTCAAAACGTAAAAAAAACAGCCGATGGTGACACTTAAGTAACGATTAAGTAGTTACAAATAGGCCGTACCTCCTAGTTTCCTGTTTCCCACTTATCAGCCTACATCAATTCTATCTCAAAAGAATGAAAATCAAAAAATGCGATCGAAATTCGAACTCATAGTCTTTCAACCGTACTTTCGGAATTCTGTGGATTAAGTCACTATAAACTGACAGATACCTCACAGAAACTTGTCGAATATCTCACAAATCTCGAAACTCATGTATCTACAATCAATCTAACAGACAGAGAAAGAATATCAATATAAACAACCTGTCCAAGTTCTTCATTTAAATTAGAAGTGCGTGCCATCGCAGGTTGGTCCGTTGGTTCATGGTACATTTCCAGATCCTAAATGAAGCGGAATGAAATAAATGCAAACTACTGAAAACACATCATGAATATTTCATAATAAATTAGAAAAAAAAACTTAGTAACTCATTCATTCGTTCATCTTCAAAGCCAATACTTTCGGTCCATGGGTGAGGGGAGGGGAAATTGCTTCAAGAAGACAATATTTCCATGATTTGGGTCTGATACCAAACGAACAACTTTGGCAGTTTAGACGGAAGGCACAACAATACCCAAGTCTTGTATGTAACTGCGGCATTTGATTATCCCGCTAGTCTGATCCTGGTCAAACTACTATCTGGCTTCGCCACGAGAGTGTCTCCTGTGTCAGCCTCGTCACATGACCTTGACCAAAATATCGCAATTCTGACTTCTCGACGTACAGATAAAGTTAATGACCTCTTTCGAAGGTGTCTCAAACTGTGGTGATCCGGATTTTGTTGAAGAGCGTCACTGCCGAATTCATCCAAAAAAATGTTCTGCTGCCTGTATTCGAAATCGTACTTCAGCTAATATCTAACCACCGCGACATGTTTGTTTTTTGCTAAGATCATCACCCTGAACTCTTTGCGTAAGCAGATCATCTCTGTACTGTGATGACCGCTTTATCTGTAGCTTTTCAACACTTCCGCTATAAGGCAGCGATTATTGAATCAGAAAAAAATATTCCTTTCCGAAAACAAATCTGATTCTATCTCGTTCGTCTATGCTGCATGTTGGCTTCCTAGTAGACGTCTGGGCTCTTACGGCTTCCATATGTGAAGGTCTCAGGCTGGAGCAAATGGTGCATTATTAGCCAGTCTGTGTAATAGAGGAAACCAGTTTTACCAATTTTCACATCTACCGAGGTCCCATGTACCCCGCGGAGACTATAGTCAGTTCTTACGTAGTCCTGCAATTCAACCCTCATTATGCGTCGAAGCCAACATTGAGCTGCACTCAGTTCAACAGCCGTTCACACTCCTTCATTGCAACTGCATTAATGCTGTACAAGAACAACAACGACCTGACATAGGTCAAGTTAATGGAGACTTCTGCGGTTAGAGATGTTTCTTTCTCGGTCAAAATTCTGGACAGGCTTCCAAAAACACTCGAGGATAGGGTGATCGCATTAGTCAACTCTGGCTGGATAGCGCCATCGCTGAAGAGGATGGAGTAGAGATACCTAACCAGGTTAACCAACTGAAGGACTGCAGCTCCCAGTGGCATTTCTGAATCAGCGGTACATAATGGGTTACTCGTCATATTTGACTTTCTGTAAGGAACAATCCGGC